GAAAAGTAGTTTGAGAGTGAGAATGAGTTGAATATATAAAATGGTGCAATATGATCTTTATATAGTATGGGCGGTTAAACCCGCCTGCACCTAATTTAGTGTCTTGTGCGGGTTGTCGTTTGATTAAATCCAATGGTGAGTGTGATAAAGGGTGTGATCTTGTGTATTGAGTAAAGATGAAGATCCACCTGTTCGACACATCTTTTTCTTCAACTCTTAATTTTGAGTCATCTTCGTGGGCATTGGGGATAACTCAATAGATTATAATTATGCATGTTACAACTAGTGGAATACCCGTGCGTTCTCACGAGTACTGGTATGTTACGCTGTAATGTCATCATTTTTATTGATTATTGAAAAGAAATTATTTGAATGCATAATTAATGGAAAAATATTTTTATCAATAACTTCATGTTCTCACTAATATTCAATATTTTAATCAGTAACTTCATATTCCCGTTAATATTAAATATTTTGATCAGTAACTTCGTGTTCCAATTAATATTCAATATTTTGATCAGTAAATTCATGTTCCCATTAATATTCAATATTTTAATCAGTAACTTCGTGTTCCCGTTAGTATTAAATATTTTGATCAGTAATCTTATGTTTCCGTTAATATTCAATATTCTGATCATTAAATTTATATTCCCATTAATATTCAATATTTTGATCAGTAACTTCGTGTTTCCGTTAATATTAAATATTTTGATCAGTAACATCATGTTTCCGTTAATATTCAATATTTGATTAGTAACTTTATGTTCCCGTTAATATTCAATATTTTGATCAGTAATTCTATATTTTTGTTATTCAATATTTTGATCAGTAACTTAATATTTCCGTTAATATTCAATATTTTGATCAATAACATCATGTTTCCGTTAATATTCAATATTTTGATCACTAGCTTCATGTTCCATAATTTAGTATTTATGTTTTTATTAAAAAAAATATAATATCAAGTTAATATTCTAATATTTAAAAAATAATAATTTAGCTTCAATATTCTATATGATAGAATATATATCTTTTGTCAAAGTTTACTATTTTTTTCAATATTCTATATAACCTAAAAATTTACTATTTTAAATTATTAAATAATGTCTTTAAAAAGCTACATTTAAAACTATTTTAAATTTACTATTGGAGAATAAGCTACATTTAGTTTTATATTGGGTTTCATATTAAAGAAAATTAAAATATATTTTTTATTTTATTGATTAATTTCTTGTGTCACTTCTCTTTATTTTTATTTTTTATATATATTTTTAAAAAATATTTCTATCTTATATTTATTTTTACTATTTCTTCTGCTCTAAATTAAAAATTTAAAAATTATAAATATAAATTGAAGATTACTATATTTTAACATTGGGTTCTTTTATTGAATAATGGATATTATTATTGCAAAAATTTGCAACAATTATACTACTTTATCAGTCATTGATAGTTGTCACAAACTAAAAACAATGTAACTAGATGATAAGTTTAAAACAAAATTGAAATCTAGTCATAAAAAAACATATGTGATAAGTTTGAAACAAATTTAAAATCTAGTCATAAAAAACACAAAAAAAAAACGACAGGGGGTTACCAAATTGGAGATTTGTTGAAGAAGAACATCAAAATCTAGCTGAGTAAGGTCATGGTCGCAAACCAATCCAATAAACCTTCTCTCATGCTTTTCACTCCTAAGCTAAACCAAAAATAAGAACAAAATCTACCTGGGTTTGGATAAAGTGAATGAAGAAGAAGAGTTTGGTTGGGTTTCAGCGGAAAACATCGAATAGTTGGAAAATTGGAGAAAAAGACTCAATTTACCCCTAAATTGATGAGGTGTTAGAAGATGAGGAAAAGGTAAAAAGAGCTTTTCCAGATGCTTCGATTTTTTATATGGTACATTCCATAAACTAGAGATAAAGTAAACACCAAGATAATATTCTGTGTGTTAACATTCCACAAACTAGAGATAAAGTACACTTAACTATATAATAGTAAGTTTCTGTGTTTGTGCAAATTGAATTTGTTTTCATAAAGTATTATGAGATTGGTTTAAGAGAAGATCTTCAAAGTATCTAATATAAATATATAAAGACACTACTCACCGATTAAAATCTTTAATTTTACTAATTGTAAGGATAAAATTAACCTTTTGAATTACTCATATCACTTTATTATTTTGATATTTAACGTCGCTGATGTGTCAACGCAATATATTTTGTTATGTAACTCTTTCGAATGGTCAATTACTGCAGCGTGTTATCTTAACAAATTTTGTTCTTACTTCTCTGAATCTGCTGCTAATATTTGTTCTTCTTCCGAATCCATGACTCATATTGAATCTGTTTTAGTGATGTTTGTGTTTGTTTTATGTTTTAGTTATATTGAATCTTGCAGATATGATAGTTAGTATGATAATTAGTGAAAGACACTTTTCACTGTCAAAATAACCGATTCAGATCTGACCACTGCCAGATCCAGGTAATAAAGCAGAGAAATTCCCAAAAATTTACTACCTTTTCAAGGTTTTTGTTTCAAATGCTGGTTTTATTTAAATTTAGGTAATACAAAGTTACAAAGCTGAATTTCGGTGATACAATATTTTTCTGAATAATAAAGCAGAGAAATTCCCATAACAACATATTTTATGCTCTGGAGTTATGAAGTCCAGGAGTAGAAAGAGAGGACTATATGAGTTTCATAACTAAAGATGCATTAAACTGTATTTTATGCTCATTGAAGTTAAATGTATCAAATAAATTATTCTATACTGGTACATGGTTATATTTCATACTCTATCAGATAAAAAAGAAATATTTTTAATTAAAAATGCAACCAAAAAATATCAGTATGCTCATTGAAGTTAAATGTATCAAATAAATTATTCTATACTGGTACATGGTTATATTTCATACTCTATCAAATAAAAAAGAAATATTTTAATTAAAAATGCAACCAAAAAATATCAGTATGTACATTATTTTTAATTAAAAACATAAATATAAGACTAGTTATGGGTTTCTCTAATTTTTAGTGGCTTTATCTAAGTTGTGTTTGTATTTAACTATTTATGTTGATCGAGTTTGAGATAAAAAAACTAGTTTCTAAACATTGCCTAATGTTCAATATTAAAAGGATTATATAACAATTAATTTGTGCCTAATTTTATTTATAAATACTTTTTATGCTTAAATGCACTTTTGCATAAATTGTATATAAAAATCATTAATTAATATTGTTAAAATAATTAATAAATAAAATAGTATGTTTTTAATTTATAACTATATCTTAATAGTCTTCATCTTCTCCAATTCAATCCATTTCAGAGTCAAATTTTTTCCAAATTTTATATGAAACATAATTATACTATATACAAAGTTTTCTTCTAAAGGCATTTCTCATGCATATGTTGTGGTGGTTACAGAAGAAAAAAATACTAACCTTTTTAGTTTTTTTTGACTAAAAAATGATTTTTTAACTAACTTCTAAGGCATTTCTAACTTCCAAATTATTTTATTTTTTACTAAATTATAGAATCATTTTTAACTAAATTACATAACCTTTTTAAAAGTTAGTATAAATTATTAGTCTATATCAATAACTATGTGAATGTTAACTAATTAAATAATAAATTAAAACGTTATAAATGATGATTTTGTAGAGATGTGATGTGAATCTAAACGAGACTCATGCGGTAGCACGAATTTCTTATTAATTTCTTAGCACAGATTTCTTACTAATTTCTTTTTATTTATAGTGTTGTTTCGTTCATATACTTGTTACACTTATTTATTTTCCTACATATTACTATATTATCATTTCTATTTTGTTTGATACATATTGGAATATTTTTAATTCTAATGTTGATCTTTTTTGTTAAATACTGTCAAGTTTATTTGGGAATCTTCCAACAAAAACAATGTTTACAAATTACAGTACGCAAGTGGTTTGCAAGAGAAAAATCATTGGCCCAAAAATTGTAATATCTTTTTTTAATGAACCACAATTTTTAAGTTAACGGAAAAGTGAGGATTAAAATAGTTTAAATTAAAAATAAAATTAATTTCGTGAATTAGATAAAACAGAGAAATCAAAATAGTAATTAATTGATTTTGTAATTAAGAAACATTTAAATAAATTTATTTAATTAAATAGAATTATGCATTTGATTTGAAAAAACTTACTTAGTATCACCTGTCATAAATCTGTGTAGCTTTTAAAGTTCCGGATTCATTATAAAATTATTATTCCTTTTATAATTTTTTGCTCACTTTCTAATATTAGATGTTACATTTAGGCTCTACAAAGATCTTAAGAACATAATTAATAATAAATTAGTATTATTTACTAAAACATTTTCACTTTTATTAATTATAATTAGTAGAGACTAAAACTCAATTTAATATAGTTTCTTCGTCAAAATTGGTTCCTTACACCATTCTGATACTTGCAATTTTAACTATGGGGGTGTACGAAGTAATAACGGGTTGAAACAAATGGAGCTCCTTAAGAAGTTTTTCAAAAGTCTGTTTGAAAGATAATTTTGGAGAAGGCTTTGAAAAATTATCTCAATAACTGCATGAAATCCATTTTCATACCAGCCATCAAATTTACACAATCATATCCATTTTGTCTGCATAAATTTATTTCTACTTAATTTCCTAATTCCTAAATTTCAAACTAGCTGATATTTGTTTTTTAACTAATATTACCGTTGTTTTTCTCTCCACAACAAATTAAAAACTAACACACTAGTGTAAATCCTAAACAATTTGTTGGCTGTGATTTCTCATAACCTTCAAAATTGACGAGCATTCAAAGTCGACCTAAAACAAACAGGCAATAAGAATGGGAAGGTCCCAAAAAATAATTGTACAATTTATCATTACAAGCTCTGTGTTCGATGCTTTCCTAACATTACAGGGCTATGGGATTTCAACCCATGTTAATGCATCATCAAGCCATAGCTTTTTCAATTACCCAACAAAAAAATTAAGTTAGACTGTTGCAGTTGCAGGCTCTTGAAGCTTAATCTCAAGATTCGACGCCACAGCATCAATAAATTCCTCAGTGTTCAAGTAAAATTCCCTTGATACCCTGCACACATTCCAATGTCAAAGCAATTAGAATACACTTTACATGCAAATATTGATTCTAACATTGGCTAAAACAAACCCTCTGCCCAGGCGTAATAACAGGCTAAGAAGATATATGATACATGAGGGAAAATAATACTGCAACAAAATAATAAGTAAAAAGATTTTAGTAAGAGTAATATAATGATGTTTTAATAGAATTTCCGGACAACAATGAATGTTAGGTTGTAGTCATTGTCTCCGTTTCAAGATCTAAACATTTCATAGTAAAATCTTAAAACAAATAGTTGCTTTGAAGCAGGACACTAGAATGACAGTTAAATTAAAACTTGAAATACAAAGTTCAGAAGATCTTTGCAAAACCAAAATATTCAAATAACGGGCTAAAGGAGATTCACTTACTTAGGCCCGTGAATCAGAAGGGCAAGATCTTTGGTCATCTTTCCTGACTCTACCGTCTCAACACATGCAGCCTCCAACTTCTTAGCAAAATCCAGTAATTTTTCATTATTATCCAGCTTGGCTCTGGTACATAAGAACATATTCATTCATTTTAATAACAGATTCAGAAAATGGGACAAAAAGGAAAGTAGAAAGGTTTTAAATAGAATATAACTTAATATAGAGAAATCAAGAGATGGTTATCCACTTTCAGGAATATTCATACACAATATATATAATACTGAGTTTAGAAGTAATACTGTCTGCAATTGACAAGGGGAAAGTTCAACAGAACATCAAAATGCACAAGAATTTGAAACAAGCAACAGAGTACCTATGTTCCAGTCCTCGTGTCCATGCAAATATGGAAGCAATACTGTTTGTACTGGTTTCTTGTCCTTTTTGATGAAACCGGAAATGCCGAGTTACAGTTCCATGAGCTGCCTCAGCTTCTAATGTCTTGCCATCAGAAGATAACTGCAATTTTTTGTTGCAATTGTAACATAAGACATCAAAAAACAAAATATAGAGATACAAAGTTGATGAAAAATATTGTAGCAAGAATAAGAATCTAATGCGTACCAGCACAGAAGTCATGAGGCCCAATGAGCCGAATCCTGCACACATTCAGAATTATTCATTACACAAATTTCAAATGCTTTCTTTTGCATTTCACAAATACATTCAACTAATGAAAATGAAATTAACAACCAGACCATAACAGTCACATTCACAAGGATAATCGGCTACATAAGCTGACAATCCAAGACATACAAATTTCAAGATTAAAGTAACAACTAATCAGAAACGAGGACAAATGTTTCCCCCTTGCCTAGCTACTTTACGCTATACATCATTTTGTTGTTCAATTCATGTTGAAAAGTAACAATTTTTTCTTTAGGCACAGATGTATACCAAGATAAACTTAATGCAAAAGGCAGTAGTGTCACTTGTTTGTAAAACATAGCACTTGAAACACTTGGGTAATTGCTTATTTTCCTAACAAACTTTTTTCTCACGGACATTTCTCATATTTTTTTACAAACCCATAATAACAAAAAAAAATATCATACTAATAATGCCTTTGTCAATTTATGATAATCAGATGTCAATAAAATAGATCCAAACAAAACAAATTACAATGTTGTGGTCTATATATAGTTTTATTATCCTGATGCACCGCCAGCTGAGCTAAATCGGTTAGATAAGCATACAATATGTTTCCCGGTATTTGAAAAAAGTTGCCACTTTCCAAGGTTTGGGTCCAAGAATTGATCTATAATCAGAAACCTTGGTCGGGGTTACTTCTAACTGACATCATACATACAATCACCATGCTTCAATATAAACAATAAGGTCCCCCTATATTACCTTGAGCAAGTAAATCACTTTGAACATCACCATCATAATTCTTACAAGCCCAAACATATCCACCTTCACTCTTGAGTGCATATGCCACCATGTCATCAATTAGCCTATGCTCATACCTGAAGCCACTCAAATGTCAACCATCAATGTGCATAAAAGTAATGAATAAAAATGTATTGGCTCATAAACATCAAAACAAACCATATTGAGTGTTCTTCAAACTTTTGCTGCCACCTTTCTTCATAAACCTCCTGAAATATGTCTTTAAATCTGTAATAATATCAAACTGTAAATCATCTCTATCAAATTTAGAATAAATAATATTGTTGTTGTATTATTATGAGGTCACTGGACCTGTATATATACATGAGCTTGTAGTCTATTTTAGGGAATTGGACAGCTAGTTCTAAGGAAACAAATCCTTGTGATTATGGGATTGATCCTAAATAAATAAACCTAATAATTAGCAAGATATACAGCTGTTACAGAATTACTGCAAATATAAACCTTCCTAAAATACATAAAGACAATAACTGTTTTGACACTCCCCCTCAAGCTGGTGAATAGGTGTTTTCCATTCCCAGCTTGGATATAATTCTTTCAAAGTTACTGCAATTCAGCCCCTTGGTGAGTATGTCTGCAAGTTGATTCTGAGTGGATACAGATGGTGTGCAAATCATGCCACTGTCTAGTTTTTCCTTGATGAAGTGTCTGTCAACCTCGATATGTTTAGTTCTATCATGCTGCACCGGGTTGTGGGCTATACTAATTGCAGATTTGTTGTCACAATATAACCTCATAAGTTCATCCCATCTTATCTTCAAGTCTTCCAATATAATCTTCAACCATAGAAGTTCACATATTCCTTGGGCCATTGCTCGAAATTCTGCTTCTGCGCTCGATCTAGCTACTACACTCTGTTTTTTGCTCTTCCAAGTCACGAGGTTTCCACCAAGGAAGGTGCAGTCTCCAGTAGTTGATCTCCTATCTACCACTGACCCCGCATAGTCCGCATCCGTATATGCTTCAAGACTTACACTCTTGTTTCGTTTGAACAAAATCCCTCTTCCTGGGGTCCCTTTCAAATACTGGACAATTCTAAGAGCAGCTTGTAAATGTGCTTCCTTTGGTTGGTGCATAAATTGGCTGACTAGACTTACAGCAAAAGCAATGTCTGGTCTAGTGTGAGATAAGTAAATAAGTCTTCCCACAAGTCTTTGATACATTTCCTTGTCCACTGCAATATCCTCCTCCGCACTTCCCAGCTTTATATTTGGATCAACTGGGGTACTTGCTGGTCTACAGGCTGTCTTACCTGTTTCTTTAAGCAAGTCAGTAATATACTTTTGTTGAGATATGAAGATTCCTTTCTTGGAATGGGCCACTTCAATTCCCAAAAAATATTTAAGTCTCCCTAATGTCTTGATCTCGAATTCCGTGGCAAGGCATTCACTTAACATTTGTTGCTCCTTTTTGTCATCCCCACTTACTATAATATCATCTACGTACACCAATAAAATTGTTACTCCCCCTGAAACTGAATGTTTGATAAATAATGTGTGATCCCCTTGGCTCTGTTTGTAGCCCAGACCTAACATAACCTTGGTGAATCTTCCAAACCACGCTCTTGGGGATTGTTTCAGCCCATATAGAGCCTTTCTTAGCTTACAAACAGTTCCAGCAGCAACCTGCCCATTGTAACCAGGGGGCAACTCCATGTATATTTCTTCTTCAAGGTCTCCATGTAAAAAAGCATTCTTCACATCGAACTGTTGCAGGTCCCAACCATAATTTGCTGCTAATGACAATATTACTCTGACCGTGTTCATCTTAGCAACCGGGGAAAATGTTTCCAAGTAATCAATTCCATAGGTTTGAGTGAAGCCTTTGGCCACTAATCTTGCCTTGTAACGTTCAATGGTCCCATCAGCCCTGTACTTTACTGTATATACCCACTTGCATCCTACTGTTTTTTTTCCAATTGGTAGGGTGACAAGTTCCCATGTTCTATTCTTGCTTAACGCCTCCATTTCCACATCCATGGCTTGTTTCCATTTCATATTAGATAATGCTTCAGATACAGAGGAAGGTGTGTGTGTGGAGTTGAGGTTTGTGAGGAAGGTTTTATGGGTAGGTGAGAATTTTTCAAAGGATAAGAAATTTGATAGTGGGTAAAGTGGTTGTTGGGTGCATGCTCTAGTTCCCTTTCTAAGGGCAATGGGTAGGTCTAGATTTTGGTCCATCTGTGCTTCTAAATTTTCAAAAACAAACTCATTAGAATCATTGGAATTTATAGGATTCGGAAGTGTTACCTCATGCAGTGATGATGGGCTGGACTCTTGGACATTGCCAGATTCTAGAATGGCCTTTTCTCTCCTTGAATATACCAGATTTTTCCCAAATTTTCCACCATTAGGTGCAGGTTCAGGTGCAGGTCTTGCTGTTGGTTCAGGTACAGGTGTAGGTGCAGGTTCTGCTGTTGGTTCAAGTGCAGGTCCTACTGTTGGTTCAAGTGCAGGTCCTGCTGTTCTCTCAGTTTCAGGGACAGCAATGCCATTTGTCCCAATTTCAGGTCCAAATGTCATATTTGGAAGCATGAGAGTCTCATCTTCCTCTCTTACATTCTCCCCCTGAAGATGAGGCTGCCCAAAGTAGCTCTCTCGTTCGTTGAAGGTGACATCTCTTGACACATAGAATTTTTTTTGATAGGGGGTGAAAACATTTGTATCCTTTTTGTGTGGTAGAGTACCCTAAGAATACACATTTGACAGCCCTAGGGTCCAATTTCCTCCTTTCGTTACTATGAACATGCACAAAGGATACACACCCAAATATTCTAGGTTGGAGTTTATTTGTAGGATCCAAGTGTGGGTAGAATGAGGATAGGACTTCCATGGGGCTTTTTGAGTCTAAGATTTTAGTGGGCAACCTATTGATGAGATAGGTGGCAGTAAGAAGGGCTTCCCCCCAAAATCTCTTAGGAACATGGTTTTGAAAAAGTAGAGCTCTAGTTTGATCTAATAGGTGCCCATTTTTCCTTTCTGCAATCCCATTCTGTTGGGGTGTGTTTACACATGAGGACTCATGGATTATCCCTTCCTTTTGGCAAAAAGAGTTTAGTACAAGGTTAAAATAATCCTTGGCATTATCAGACCTAATTCTTTTGATACCGACCCCAAATTGATTTTTAATCATTGAGACAAACTGAAAAAACACAGAGCTAACTTCAGATTTTTGTTTTAAAAGAAAAACCCAAGTCACCCGGGTACATTCATCTATGAAGGTTAAAAACCATTTAGCACCTGAGATATTAGGAACGTAAGCAGGACCCCATACATCAGTGTGAACAAGAAAAAATGGGCAAGGACTCATCTTATTGCTAATGGGAAAAGGTACACGCTTGTGTTTAGCAAACTCACACACATCACAGTGGAGACTCTCCACATTTAAATTTTTAAACAAGAAAGGGAAAAGCACTTTTACAACTCGAAATGAAGGGTGTCCTAGCCGGCAATGGTATAGTTGAACTTTCTCTATGTTGGTCATGGTGGATTCAGATATGAGAGAGCGGCTATTGGTAGGCAGATTAGGATCCTCCATGTAGTATAGGCCATTCCATTCTCTAGCATGTCCAATCGTCTTCCCCGAGTTCTTGTCCTGCAGTATACAAGAGTTGTTATGAAAAACAGCATTACAGGAGAGATCTTTTGTGAGTTTTTGTATAGAAATCAGATTGGTGGATAATTTAGGGACATGAAGGACATTTTTTAATGTTATGGATGGGTTTATTTGGACCTCTCCTTGTCCTGCTGCAGTCATAAGAGTTCCATCTGCTGTGGAAATTTTCTTGCTGCTAGGACATGGGGAATATGTGGAGAAATATTTGGGTAGAGGGGTCATATGGTCAGTGGCTCCAGAGTCTAATATCCAGTAATGTGTAAATGGTGTATCTGAAACATTAAGCCCAAAAGAAAGTGGAAACTTACCAGAATATGTTAAGGAGCATGTACCTGTAGGCTTCTCCAATTTACTAAGGAAGGATCTTACCCGCTCTATCTCTTCATGATTCAGCTGGCCAGATCCTTCACTTTGTCCATGACTGATGTGTGCTTGCCCTTGCGCTCCTTTTTTGGGAGGACCTCCTTTCGGCCCCCATTCTCGGCTTGGGGGTTTCCCATGTAATTTCCAGCACTTCTCCCTTGTGTGACGCGGCTTGTTACAGTGGGTACACCAAATATCCTCATGTTTTTTCTCCATGTTGGGAACTCCGCTTCTCCTTTGGTTAGCAACCATGATTGTTCCTCCTTCAGCTATCATTGCCGAACTTTCAGTTATTGAGGTCTCGAGCATCAATCCTCTTCTGCTTTCTTCACTCCGGATAATGGCTACCACTTCATTAAGCCCTGGGACTTTCTCTTTTCCCAGGATTTGGATTCGGACCTGGTCATATTCAGGATTTAGGCCTACCAAAAAATCATAGACTCTATCTTGTTCAATATACTCCTTAAGGATTGCTGAGTCTTCTGAACATTTTGCTTTTATAACTCGATAGTGGTCCAATTCCATCCATAGAGACTTGAGTTGATTAGCATATTCTGTAACAGATCTGCTTCCCTGTTTGGCAGCCACAGTTTTCACCTTTACATCATAAATTTGGGCAGCATCCTTGGCCTTAGAATACGTTTGTTCTACTGCCTCCCAAATTTCCTTTGCTGATTTAAGAAACATGCAGGTATCACTAATTTCTGGGACCATTGAATTCCACAGCCACGCCATGATCATGGAGTCTTTTTCTTCCCATGATTTGAAGTTGGGATCTGTTTCATCAGGTGCACTATCAGTTAGGTGACTGACCTTTCTTTTTCCTTTCAAGATGGTCCTAATAAGTTGAGACCATTTGAGAAAATTCTTCCCATTTAACCGATAAGCAGAATGAACATTCTGCAATTCTCCGGCAGTCTGGGATCTGTCCCCAGTTTCCAGAATAGGATCCACAATCTCAGCCATGACCAGGTGCGATCAAGGTAGAGAAGGTTGCGCTGCAATGAAATCGGCGACAAGGTATAAAGGTAGTGCAGCAATGAAGGCTGCAACTTAGGGTTTACAAGCACGGTCAGAGACTCCCAAGGATCGGGAGCTCTGATACCATATCAAATTTAGAATAAATAATATTGTTGTTGTATTATTATGAGGTCACTGGACCTGTATATATACATGAGCTTGTAGTCTATTTTAGGGAATTGGATAGCTAGTTCTAAGGAAACAAATCCTTGTGATTATGGGATTGATCCTAAATAAATAAACCTAATAATTAGCAAGATATACAGCTGTTACAGAATTACTGCAAATATAAACCTTCCTAAAATACATAAAGACAATAATTGTTTTGACAATCTCCAATAGAAGCAAATGAAAAGAAAGGCTGTCTAAATTAAGGAGAAGTTTAGCATACGAAAGCAACAATTGAAAACATGAACTCGCACATAGATATAGCAATAATCACCTGCCATCATATTTCTTGAGAATTGTGTTTTTGGTGCTTAAGTAAAGTGGCCACTTCTTTGTAAATGCTAGTGACATGGATGATTCAGCAAATGCTCGAATGGACTGGCATATTAGAAAAACAAGTGTTTGAACATAATAAAAAAGAAACAAAAGCAAGTTTTTAAACATTTAGTTAGCATACACCGAAAATATAAAATGAACAAACCTCATCAATATTATACATAGCAAGAGCTACACCAGGGCCTTTGAAATTATGAACATCAAGCTCCACTGGAGTGTTACCATCTTCTGGGACTGAATTCAAGATGGGAAACAAATGTAAACTACATGTGATGTCTATAAATGATAATTTGACCCCCCAAAAAGAACAACTCCATCAGAAAGCAGGTCTTCGGAAACTAACATACCAAATACCAGCTTAAGCTTCCCCGGTCTGTTGATTACTGTATCAGTGGCACGATACTGATCACCAAAAGCATGCCTGCCAATACAGATGGGTTTTTTCCATCCTGATAACCGAAAAATAAGTTTCAAATGGTGCACTGTAGTATTTTAACTTCATTAAGAATCAAACTACAGCTAAGAAATTACCAGGAATAATTCTGGGTATATTGCGGCATATTATGGGCTCACGAAATACAGTACCTAGAAGGAAAGGGAAAACATCATAAGCAAAAATTTAAAGCTATCACAGGACTTTTTTTCAGATAGTAACATTCCCTGTGTATTTTACAAAAAATAAGTAATCAGATGTGAAAATCCTGCAAGTAAAATAGACAACTACACAGAGCTGTATTTCTAATCTCTATGCATACTAATATCTCTTCCACTATAGTATATATGTACATAAATGCACCTAAAATAAAACATATGGGAGAACTGACATTGGCACACAGTAAGGAAAAGGGCTAACATCACTAATTTTGATGCACGCATTCAATAATATGTGCATATAACAAACCATTTAAAATGTTCCTTATTGTGCCATTGGGGCTTCTCCACATAGACTTCAGTCCAAATTCTTTGACCCGGGTCTCATCTGAAAATTCAAAATAGAGTTCAGAACTTCAGATACTATTATTTTGTTACAAAAATTATAAATGAATCAAGAGTGTGAACTAGTCCACTTGCCATGCACTATGTAGGATGTTAATAATATGATTTAATTTGCAAGCATGGCACTTAGTCAAATGACTCATGATAGAGAGCATTACATCTATTTAAAGCCCAGTACAACTTACCAGGAGTTATGGTTGCACATTTCACAGCAACATTGTACCTGAAGCAAATAGAAGTTTCAATTAACAAATGGGAATGTAGTTTTATTTTGTTTATAAAACTGAGAGGGAATGGCAGCCGGATAAGAAACCCTCCGAAGTAAAAAAGGAACAAGAGATACATTAGGGCTATGTTTGGGAGTTTGGAGGGAAGGGAAAGGGAGGGCTTCAAAAAATGATATTTTAAAAAAATATAGAGAAATTTTCAACATTTTTTGAAAAAAAAGATTTAGTTTAGAATGATAAAATAATGTTTATTATTAATGTATTTTTAATTTTTGAAATACTACAACCAGTGTAAGCAGAATCGCGAGTTAACTCACAAAAACATACGATTTAACATTTCATTCTCGTGTCTTCGTGCTGCGATCCAGCCTCCAGGTAACATCGTATATCACAAACTCGGTAAACTCGACCGAGTCGAAATTCGGAATTGTCTTGGATTTCTGAAAGCAGCGCACAAATTCTGAAGCAGTGCATATGTTTTTTTTTTTTTTTAAAAACTAATTTTCTAAAACGGGCCTGGATCCGGGTTGGATTTTATTTTATTCTGATTTATTATTATTTTTTAAAAAGAGAATTATGTGACACGATTGAAATTCCCATTAAACTAAAATCTTTTCATTCAATTCCACCCTTGGTAAAACGAGAATTCAGCAACCTTCTTCATCAATTCCGCAGCCTTCTTTCTTCCTCAATAAACTATCACCAACCGTTACAATTTACAACCAATTATTCAGCATAAATTCTATTCTCTCATTCACGATTCTTCCTCAATAAACTCATTCACGTTTATTGACTTTGAACTAATGAATTTATGGGTATGACTTTAAACTTATTATTTTTATATATGATCATTTTGGAGCATATGCATGTAATTCTACATATAAAAATATATTTTTCTACTAGTAGTAGAATCTTTCGATCCGTGTTATGATTCTCGAGTTACGATTTTTGAATCCTCTAACGATTTTGAGTAAACTCTCGTTTTCTTAAACATCGACTACAACAACAAAAATTATATTTGAACAAATTGATCAAACCCTCCAAAATCCTGCTCCAATACAAATTTTGAGATCCCCCAAATTAGGGTTTTTTTGGTGTTATGAAGAAAAACAAACCCTCCCAAGCAAAATCTTTTTATTCTTTTCACCCAATTCTTCTTATTTTTCAAAGCCCTTCCCCCTCCAAATTCTCAAACAACGCCTAGGTGAAAACAAAGGTAAATTTGCAGTCAAGCTGCATAATACAAGCATGTAACTAATGGCGAATTTCTTGAAACAGACATTGTCAGAGCATCACATGCTTGCGGGAGAAAACATAATTCTACGCCAAAGTTACATGAAGGGAAAAGACATTAATATGCAAGTTCTTCACTACAACAAAATGAACCAACAGATTACACAAAACAAACACTGGCATAACTTTTTTGGTTCCCCCCTTTTGGTAAATGGTCAAAACAAAACCAGTAAAACTAACCTGCAAAATGCAGCTAAAGTAGGAGGACAGATACAAAGCTTATCAAGGACCCCAAACAAATCATCTAAAAAGATATGAATTACGGCATCAATCACCATAATGGAAAAACCAATAAGGAAAAAAACCTAAACAAATAGTCTAAAAAGATATAAGACATCAATCACCATAACTAAAAATACAACAAGGCAGCCTTGTTATATTTTTAGTTATGGTGATTGATATCGTAGACGATTTGTTTAGGGTCAAAAGCAAAAACCCTAAAAAAATTGTCTAAAAGTATATACAACATCAATTACCATAACAGAAAATCCAACGAGGCAAAAATCGTAACAGCTTCCCCGGTCAAACCATAACTTGACGTCTCAAACAACTTCAATGAAACTAAATAAGTAGCATTACTTGGCTATCAATTCTCACCATATCAAGAAAGTCTATCTACTTAAAATCTAACATTCCTAAATAAGTAGCATTTTTTATACTTTTCTAGTTAACAGACCTAGCTACACCTTCTAATCTAACATTCTCAGCTAAAACACAAACCACTAATAGTAAAATAAAAATAAAAATTTAAATGCCAATGAATGTTATGTTATCATGCTTTGATGTTTCCATTCATGAAAAAAAAATCACTGACTTGAGAGTAGCTTCCGCGCTTTCGACAGTCACTCTGTCGTCAGTAGCATCGCGATTTTCAATCCCCAAATCAAAATACTTTATGTTCAGATCCAGGTAAGGAAATATAAGCTGCATTCACATTTTTAAAAAAAATCACTCGTTAATGTAAAAAGCAAATCACAAATAGTCTATCTAGCACGAATTTGGATTGCCGGTAGTCACAATCCACACATTTATGTAGTCGCTGCGCCGGTTATTGGACCGTCCAAATTTCAATGCACATTTAAATTACCGAATTTAAATGTTGGACAGTCTTATCTCGATTTAACTGTCACCTATGCGTTTAGGGCGTAAATGTGTAGGACTGCTAACTGTAGGCAATCCAGACTCATCTAACACTGACACTTAGGATTGAAGGTGTGTTCAGGTGTCGTACACAAACAAAACATAAACACATATATATATACATTTAATCACTTACATTTTCTTAGTCAATTACCAGTACCAAATGTCTATGTATGTGCTTTTTAGCCGATAGAAAACCATCAAATAGTCTATCCAGCACAAATTTGGATCGCCCGTAGTCACAATCTCACACACATTAAAACAGTCAACGCATCAATGGTCTTTGGATCGAGATTGAACTATCTAAATTTCAATGTAGATTTTAATTTTCTTTTAAATCCAAAACACCGAGCTTGAACGCAGGACCATCTGATCTCAATCCAACTGTCACAAATTTGCTGACAAGTTAATGTGTGGAATTACTAACAGTAGGCAATCTAAATCCATCAAGCCCTAACCCGTCGGATTAAAGATGTGTCAGGCTGGGGTACACATACAAAACATTAACACCAGAAACACGACACCGACACTGATACATCTAAACACAAAACACTAACGCGTATAAATACATTAGAAAGCACACGGACACCATAAACATAACACCATAAATATACGTCTAAATACAAAACATTAACGCATATAAATACATTAGAATTCATACTTTATCCTTTATCATCGTCCATATAATCCTGGTCATTTCATCACCTGCTCAGCAAAACAATGATATTAATAAATCAATAAATATAAAATGGTGTGAAGTGAATTAACGAACTGTGAAGAAAGAGAAAGAGAGGTTAGAGAGGTTACCGTCCATTTCGACGATGGGATTGACGACATGAATTGGCCGAGAAGCGAAGCATCGAAGGGAGATGCGATTGCGATTGTTGGAAAACGAAAGAGAGTGAGAAAGAATGGAGAATTTTGAAGCATGCGGTGATGAAGTTGAAGCGAAGAGGAAGTTAGGGTTTTTGAGAGAGGAAATGGAAGAAGTAGAAGAGAACATGGTGGCGGTGGTTAATCGGAATAGTGATGGTGATGCTCTCAACATAACTTTCTCTATGGGTTTTGACTTTCGTTAACCCCTTCTACTTTATGCGACTTACGGCGTGTTTGGATTTGCGTTGTAAAAAAATGATTCGAGTAGAATTGAGTTGATAGAATTGATTTTAATATAATTGAATTTATTTATGTTAGAGTCAAAATCAATTTTAATTTTGATAAAATAAACACATTAAAATTATTTAAAATCAATTATACATCTCTAAAATATTAATTTTGAATCTTCTAAAAACTAATCTAAACATGCTATTAAATGATATCTCATCTTTCATGAAAACATCCAACGCATCGATTTGATTTCATAATTATAAGTATTTTTTATTTACTCTTTAATCTTGTTAATAATTAGTGTATTTATTTAAAGAGAATAAAAGATAGGCATAATAAAATAATTGTACACGATAAATCACAACTATATTAAATTTTAAATTATTCTGTTATTTTTAAATAAATAATATGGTAAAGATTAGTGATAATATTAAATTATTTTGTTATTTTTAAATAAATAATATGACATAGATTAATGATAATGTCAAATTATTCTGTTATTTTTAAATAAATAATATAACATAGATAAATGATAAATTTTCATTAAATAATAGTGTAAAAAGTTATGGTATCAATTTTTTTACGTAGAAAATATTTATACTTTTTTATAAGTCTATTTAATTAAAAAGACTATGTATAATACCTTAAATCTCGTACATAATTTATTAAAAAATTTAATCAAATAAATTACAACCACTTAAGATGTAATACACAACAAACATAATGGATTACAAAAGAATATTTAATACATATAATTGTATCTAGGATGTTTAAAACTCATGTGATTTATAACACATACTTATAAAATATTCTAGGTGCAATTATGTGTATTAAATATTTTGTTGTAATCCGTGTTAAAGAGTCAGTTATGTTTGTTATGTATAGGGGTGGATAGCAGTCGGTTATGGGTGGGTTTGGGCCCGAAACAGCTCACTCGAATTAACCTACGGTTAGAAAATTTGAAACCAATTTCACCCAAAACAAAGTTCGGTTTTATCGGTTGACAGATTGTCGGTTTAAACAATTCATTTGATTGGGTTGAATCGGTTTGAATTAATAAATGACCAATTATATTTTTTTTTTAAATAAAATTCCGACCAATAAATTCTAATCCAAATTTTATCATTCTTGTACATTCATCACATTACTACTTATTAAACTTCATTTATATTTTATATCATTAAAAGAACTATTGAACCACAAACTATTATCATTATATTGTATTTTCATCATCATTCAAGTGATAAACTATTAACATTATATTACAATTCCATCATCATTCAAGTAATAAAATAATATATTATATTAAATTCATCATAAGTCAGCATATCCTCGACAGATTCATGAAAAGTGAACTACATCGCCATCATAGCATCATCATTCCATCCATTAACAAGTAAGAAACCACATCATCATCATTCCATCCATCAATAAGAAACCATGTAACAAGTTCTACATTGGTTTGTACCTGAAACCATGTAACAAGTTTAGCATTGTTTTGCACATGTTCAAATTAAGTTATGATAACAACACTGGCTAAACAAATTAAGTTATATTAACAACTAATACTTAACAAGAAGCTAAACATACAAGAATGAGAGTTATCTCCCTCGGTCTCCTCTTTATTTCATCATCAAATGGATAGTTGTCAACAAGCTCCAAGGAGCATCCCCCTACATCACCAGGACTACAACATGAGCTAGAAGTTTATATGTCACCAACTCCTTCATTGACATAAATATGACAGCACGAGTTTAAACAAATTATACAAAAAGATAAATTTCAACCACACAAAAATGCAACATCTTAATGTGTGCATTTAGTGATACCTCCTAAACAATAGTTCACCATCAGTGTGTTATGCCAATCAAAAAGATTCATACCCTATTGAACAACATTTGAATGATCATGTAAATCCATTTTTGAGTTTTGAAAATGACAATGAATCTGAAAGCCTTCTATAGATGATTTTGTGCCAGCAACATACTTCTGTCAAAATAAATTGAATTTAGAACCTGGAGCTCAGCAGAAATTAAGATAATAATATACTAAATAATAAGCAGATAACATTAAATTCAGGACACATGTAACAAACTTAACACTTAAACAATAATTAAGAGAAAAGATGAACTGGAAGGAGAAAAGTTTAATAAAGAAATTGTAATTTTACAAAGCAGTGGCGAAGCTACATACTGAAGTATTACATATCTGAGACATCATCAATGTCAAAGATCTATTATCACCAAAAAAGTGAACTGTTGAGGATATTGGCAGATAGGTATCATACTTCATTCCAAAATATAGTTAATAAGTTGATTATCCATAATAATCATCGGCACAAAATAAGATTATTTTCACAAATGACTCCAAAAAACAAACTGAAACGGATCAAAAAAAGTATTAATACCTTTAATAAACACACACACACACGCACACACACGCGCGCGCGCGCACACACACACACACATAGATATAGATATATATATATATATATATATATATATATATATATATATATATATATATATATATATATATATATATATATATATATATATATATATATATATATATATATATATATATATATATATATATATATATATATATATATATATATATATATATATATATATATATATATATATATATATATATATATATATATATATAAAAGTTGTCATACCCCAAAATTTCCCTATCACTACAATAAGTCTTATTGTTATTAAGTTTCTATATAAGTGCATCATATCTATAAGTTTATTTCTATGGGGTCTAAAACAAGAAAGAGAGGTGTATTGATCTAAAATGGACTATCAATATCTGATGGCCCATTAGGGTTTCATTCATTTTTTTTGGAGAGGGGTGTATCGTTATGGAGAGAGGTATACGTTTTAAATCAATTGAGACTCATATAGGGTCACGTTCTTGAAAGCTCACTATGGTATTAGGGTTCATTTTTAAGAAGGGGGTGTGTTAGTTAAAGTTGTTGGGCCATTTCTAAATCAGATGGCCCATTTCATTTTAGTTTATTGGTTTCAGCCCATCTCAAAACTTGAAGATTTTATCTCATTAAGAATTTTTGGGCCTTTAATTCCAGCCTAATTTGAATGTTGAAGAGGGGGGTTCACCTATTGAAGAGGTCTTGGGCCATTTCTAAATCAGAATGACCCATTTAGATTTTGATTTAGGTTAAGAGGTGTATAGGCAATTCATTTTTTAGGTGGCCCAATAAGTTAAAACATTTGGCCCATTTCAGGATTTAATTTGTATTTTGTTATTAAGATTATTATTTATAAAACATCACAGTAATCAAAACCATCATTTTGTAATTAAATAATGGTTTTATTGGAGAAAACGTTTGATTAAGAAGGCCTATAGCAAATCATTTTTCAAGGCCCAATAAGTTAAACGTGCAAGCCTAATTCAAGCCCAAAACAAAGAAACGTGTACTATTTGGTTTAAGGAATAATAATGTTTTAGGCTAGGAACCGTTATTGTTTAGATTAGTGGAAAATAATGCATGTTTTAAGTTGAAAACCGTTACTGTTTAGATCATACAGAAACCGAATTAAATCTTGCAAAACTTATCAAAATAAATCTTTATTTCATCAAATCATTAAACTTTACAATAAAATTGAATCAAATCTCTGTATAATCAAAAACAAAATCAAATATCTTTACATTCAATTGTCCAAGGCATAATAGAGTCAATACAAGATACAAAATCGTAATTGACTTAATATAGAATCAAATCCCTAAAATTACAACTTATACAAACCTGTATCAAATCAATACAATCAAATCCCTAATTCTAAGAGTAACGACAAACTCATAGAACTATTTCTTAAATAATCTAATAAAAAAACCTATAAAAAATCCTAAAATCAAAACAGAGGGGGGGGAAGATTGAACGGAAAAAGTTTACAGAGAGGGAAAGTGTTTTGAAGAACAGAGGGAGCTTGTCTTCATCGCCGCTGCAAACCCTCGTATCCACCGCTCCAACTTAGGGTTTCAATATTTGAAAACCTAGCTCTTTTTAATTGTCGTTACCATCATCATCATTATCCATCGTTGCCATCCTCACCATCCGCTATCGTCACCTACCAAATAAACAAAGAAGATCAGTAAAAAGCACTCATTGGAACAGACGTGAATAATACGTAGGTAAGGTACCAAACTACTCAGCTTTAGGGGCATGTGATTTTTGTGTGTGTATTGTTTAAAGATTTAGGATGTAGGGTTATAATTGAAGCTTGGGGCTTGGTTTTAAGGTGAGGAATGATGGGTTTGGGTTGTGCCACTGCTGGGATTAGGGTTTGTTGTTTAGGGTTGGAAGAGAGAAAACAAAGAAACAAGGTGAGAGAAGAGAGAAGAAGGGTCAGAGGGATGAAGAACGAAAAAAATGGAGAATAATGTTTGTAAAACAAATATATTATGTCTTTTTATCCAGTGCAACGCCCCTTACATTGCACTCTTCATCACATTCGTAGGATCCTCACTAGACGCTCCTAAAATGCGCCTCCATGGTAACCCCGTATACTCGCCCGCAGGCTACCCAAACAGACTCTCCTAAAACAGTGTCTTTGGGCCAGGCACACCCCTCTATTTTTTTTGTTTTTACTAACCAGCGCAAACATACCCTCCCTGTAACGCCCGTTAATTTAATTAATCATTTAATTAAATATTTTCGAATTATTTGTTGAAATGTTCTGTCATGTCGGTTAAGTTGCGGTGTTGTTATTAGTCAGTTAAATTAAGTTGATTAATAATATTACTAAATAATATTAGAAAGTATAGAATATTAGTAGAATATTAGTTGGACCTATTTTGATGGTTAGGAGTAGTAATATGTGAGGTGTGTAAGTTGAACCCATTAGGAATAATAATATTATTATTAGGTTTAGTTATAATAATAAGAAATTAGGTTAATTAGAAAGA